CCCGATCCTCTTCCATTCCTCAAAGCTAAATCCAATACCTGAACGCCCAGAAAGGATGAGACCCCCACGAGGAGTCGAGCAGATGCAAAGTCGCCCTGATTGCAGCCTTCTCCAACTATGATCGTTAAAAAGAACAGCGTGGGGAGAATGAACACGTGTTAAATGAAATTATTTTAAAGGATTTTTGATTTTGTTTTAGAACTTGGCTCTAAAAACATTAAATAAAGCACAGTTATATTTTAATGTTTTGTTAAAATAAGTTTTATACTTTATATTAAGCTTATCCAAGAAAATAACTGAATCAAACTGTTTAGATGTATTTTACGTAAATCTAATATGCTATAACAAACATTAATTTCTACAGTATTACCAAGCAACTTGCAAATTGTTAAAATAAAAAAAATGTTTTATTCATGCATATTTTCTAGCTTTTCATAAACTTACAGGAATAACAGCTGTGTTTAGAAAAAAACTTGCTAATTTTAAAAACAAGTTTTTATTTTGTGTGAAGTTTTAGCTTTAATGAAATGCAACATTTGAATTAAAGCTGAAAAAAGTGTAAAAAAATAAAGATKTGAAGGAGTAAAATGTAAATCCTAAACTTTACATGAAACAGTACATTTAGGGATGGTTAAAAATAGTTTAGTGAACTTGGAAAGCTTTGTTCAATCCCACCATTAAGTAACTGATTGCTGTGAAACAATTTAATATACTTTTTAAAACAATTAAACAGTTTATCAGAATTGTTCTGAGTCCAGATTTATTTTTGTTAAATCTTTGGATGTTTAATAAAATTGTTTTATAGTTATTTTAGAAGAAGCACATTTTTTTTAGTTTAATTCTAAATGAAGTTGTTTCTTAGAAGTCGAATCACAGTTGGAGCCATTAATCTCGTCAGAGTGCAACGAGTTCAAACCCTTTGGTTAATTAGTATATTTTTTCCTCTGTATCTCTTCTCACTGTTGTGTATGCAGACATACACTCAGATATTCATTTATGTGTAAAAAGCTCCTATAGAGCGTCTGTAGCTTCCTGTAATTGCAGGAAACGAACAAAGCCCTGCTGCTGAGTGTGTTATTCTCCTGCCTCTTTACCTACACATTTGATTTGTTCGGATCTTTTTTATTTATTTATTTCCTCTCCCGTCTCCTACACATCGGCCTCTTTAGCAGGCGTTGCTTTTACAGATAGCCTGTGTGTTATTTTTAGGCTTTGATGTATGCAGGTTGTAGGGTTTGCGCTGCACTCGCCGTGCTCGTGTGGGTGTGTGTTTACCTACGCCGACATCCGCAGGGCTCGCCGCGACTCGTGAAGGTCGCGGACACGGCGCCTATAGGCTGTCGGTTGTGTTGCGATCAACGAGACATAAATCATTGTCCTTTTGGTCGTTGCAGAAACCAAATCAATAATTCTGATCATGTAGATAAGACGGATGGTGAAGGAAAATGATGGCTTGGCTGTAATACTCTTAGCTTTTGCCCCTGCAGTGGGAGCAAACATACATTAAAAATAAATTATACCAAGGACACTCTGAAAACCACATCCAGTCAATCCATTATGCCTGAAGTGAGGTCTTTATATAATGTGTTAATGTTAAGTTTTCTGCTTGCAGCCGTGTGAAGAAACCCCCACAGAAAACAAGCTCCATGTTAATAGGTGTTGATGTTCTGTGAAAGTTATTTGGGTTTGGAAAGTGTTGATTAGGGAGCTGTTTGTTCGCAGTTCTAATATCARTGGCGACTACTCAATGTGTTATATTTGCCCCGATGGGTTTCGACTTGCATAACACCGCTGGTTTCATGCTTTAAACACAGACGTTGAAATGAAAGCAGCACGTCTTTAAATAAAAAACACAAAAACTTGATTTTTACCTAGGCCTGTCACGATAAAAACATCAATTGTTCTCGCAATAAATTTCAAATGTGGTCAATAATTTTCTAGCCTGGCCCTTGCCTTCTTACGCAGCTCCGCTCAATTCTAGTTTCCCTTCTCTGCTCCGTCTGGGAYTTCTCCCATWGACGAGGATTTCACTGGCAGATTTTTAGTCGAACCAATCAGAGAACAGAATGTCGATTTCCTGCGCAGTGTYTGCTTGTAGTTTATTTTACCTGGGCCAATCAGCAAACAGAAGGCGGAGTTTTGAACGACGTCAATTTTYTGCGCAGTGTCTGCTAGTTATTTTAGCATACGGCAGTGGAGGAASTGAATGAAGCMAGTCCGTGTTGAWAAGGCTTCCAAATTAAATAAATTTGTCTGATAAAGCAGCAGCTCTCATTTACAGTCGTCTCRTTCRGYTCGGTACTTYTCTCCTCTCAGTAGGGTTGTTTACAGCACACGCGATTTCCGGTTAGCTTCTTAGCTTRGCCTCCTTCACTTTGACACTTCAGCAGAGGTCACGCCTCCAGCAAGAATCGCTTCTCTATAGCAACTTCGTAAACAGTGTGCGAGTGATCACAGTTATTTTATGAAGCCAGAGGAAGACACAAAGAATGTGGCGAAGCGATTTTTCAGCTCTGGTTGTTTTCGCAATCTCTGGTCCAGGTCGATTTGTTTTATTTTTTATTTACATAAATTTCATAAATTTATGTAAGCTTTCTAAGGCAGTGGTTCCCAATCCTGATCCTCTAGACCAGTGGTTCCCAAACTTTTCAGCTTTTGACCCACAAAATAACAGTAGCAGACCTGTGCCCCCAACTATTTTTGGACGATAAACATTTATATCAGGTCAACAAAACATGGGCATAGTAACAATATTTTATACTACATTTATCCATTTTAAATACACTAACCTCACTCATTTGTAACAACTAAGACAAAAATGTAATTAATTCAGAAAATCTTTTCAGGACCCCACCTTGATGTTTCGGGACCCCACTTTGGGTCCCGGCCCCAACTTTGGGAAACACTGCTCTAGGACCCCTAACCTGCAGGTTTCACTTGTYTCCCTGCTTTTCAGCAGGTCTTCAGAAGATTGTTAATCACTCATTCATTCAAACCAGGTGTGTCGAATCAGAGGAACATCTAAACATGTGGACCAGGGCTGAGAATCACTGCTTTAATACATGTTATCTGATTTGTTATAAATAAATGGCAAAGAATCAATGGCTTCCAGAGGCAATACTAAAAAACATAAAACTGAGTCAATATTATATTTATAAAATGTCTCACCAAGCTCAGAGAAGCTCTTGAGGTGTTGGTCAACATTTCAAGCAGTTTTTAGATGTTTCCCTGATTTGACACACCTGGTTTGAATGAATGAGTGATTAACAATCTTCTGAGGACCTGCTGAACAGCAGGGAAACAAGTAAAACATGGTGAATAGGGGTCCTTGAGGACCAGGATTCTCCAAACAATAATTTCTGAGAATTTATCGTCCAACAAAATTTATTGTGACATGTCTATTTTTTAACATTTAGGACCTGCGTGAGATTTAAGCAAAAAAATAGTTACAGCATGAAAATAAAAGCTTGTTAATATGCATCAATAGGTTTAGTTTTTCACACAGCGTGCAGCTTATTTCTGGAAACGGCCCTTTCATGTAAAAACAGGGCCTCAGTCAAAGTTGTCAGTTTATTTTGTGCAAAATCTAAGTTATCTGTYGACCAGGCAGAACACTGCACCGTCTGTCAACTAGTTAAAAATCGTTGAAATCACAAAACATTTTAGTGGTTTGGACACTTTTTACTCTTTGAATCCACAGTAAATATCATTACTAATTCATAAAACCTGTTAAATTAAACAAATTATTAAAACAAAAAACAATACTAAAGAACACAATGGTGTCATTGAGGGAATTCATATCAGAAAATTACCTTTTTTGCTTTTACAAACGTCTCGTACACGATGCTGTGAAACAAATCACCATACAGGCTTCGTGCAGCGGCTTAAAAAGTTTAAAACAGTCTAAAAGTAGAAAATCTAAATTTTTAGGCCTAAAAAAGTCTTAAAAACACCCAGATTTTCATCCAAGGTCTTAAATTTAATTTAGTCAAGTCTTAAATTATTTTTACTTTTGATCATTCCTGAGAAGTGTTGGCTGTATAACAGAATAAAGCTCAGTAATCGGACGTTGATGTCATCTGTCTTCATGAAGTTTGCTGCCAGTCTTTGTACGTTAAACTACAAATCCTGTGATAACTTCAAGCAAAATACGGTACAGTTTACTTCCATGTTTTCAACCTGTTTGCTGCTACAACCCCCCGCATACGGCAGCTTGTTCACCTGCCCAAAAATCAAAGAAGTGCAGTCACGTCCACTGCTTGTTGTTTAAACATGGGAAAGTGTGTTTTCTTTTTTTAAAATCACTTCAGTAGAAAAAATAACTTAATATTAGTTCCTTAATTTCTTCATCATCAGTGATTTTTTTTACTTAAAGAGAAAATAGAAAAAGAGAAAAACAAAGAGAAAAGTAATTAGATTGAAATAAAGAAATGTATTAAAAATACACCAAGAAAACACAGGACCACACACCCAACATCTGTCTGCTCACCTAAAAATAAATGGATAAATACATGGATGGCATACATATATACACATACCCATATATATACATATATTACGTACATTCATGCATACTGTAGATGTATACACACAGACATATATACACACTCAGTGATCAGTCAGAACCGCCCGGATCAGAACAGGAAAATGTGTTTTCAGTGAGATTTGGCTTGAAATCAGTGATTTTTGCAGTCGGTTGGAAGCGGTCCACAGCAGGTCTCATTAGATATGAGCGTTTCATTAAAATAATTATAGCTTTCTTGTATTAAAATTAAATATTCTTTCTCTGTTATAATTTCTGGGATCATCTCGGTGTTTGTTAATGTGTCAGTTTGGTCTTAAATGTCATTCCTAATTGCCTTAAAAGATCTTTAAATTTAACGTACTGAACCCTGCTTATATTGATATTTAAATTGGACCTCTCTGTCTCAGACTGAGCTGTGAGCATCGATGAGTTTTAAACAGATCTTTATTTTTTTTTTTGTCTCTCCTCCCAACAGAGCAAACTGGTGATGGAGGGTTTCCGCAGCTTGAAGGAGGGCGAGCAGGTGGAGTTCACATACAAGAAGTCCTCGAAGGGCCTGGAGTCCCTGCGGGTGACTGGACCTGGTGGAGGACCCTGTGCAGGCAGTGAGAGGAGACCTAAAGCCAAGGTCCCGCTCCAGAAACGCAAACCAAAGGGAGATCGGTGAGTAGGTTCACACGTTGTGCTCACGCTGTAGTAAAAAAGAAACCTCTGTGTGTGTACACTTAGAGCTGCGAGCTGTTTCTGAGGGCGTTCAGACTATAGATTAAATCTATTCAATCTGCCAGTGAACATGCCTGTTGCCATGGTTAACACTCACCGTATATGAATAGAGCTCTTTGACTGCCTGGGCTGTTTGAAATCAATTTGTCAGGTTTTACATTAGTGACCGTATCAGCATGGGGGTGAAGGTTGGATGTACACATCTTAAAGCCTCRGTGGTTCTAATCGTTTGGGCCTCAGGAAAAACCCTGAAAGGTGCTTTAAAAATCCATGTGAGGCGGTTTCTTGGAAACACCTGGTGGTTAAAGCCACAGGTGACTGTTTCCTCTGGCCTCCTGCTGAAARACGATCCCTTCATTAGACGTGCAACAACTCTGATCAGGTGTGATCGCAGTCGTAGGGTTTCTTTATTTCAAGTCGAGTTGATTTACGTGTCAAAGTTCAGCTCTGCCTCTGTGTTGAGAACTAGTGCAGTAATGTTTGCATTTATGAAAACTAGAGTTTTTCTTAGAAAGTTAGAAACTGAGAGAACCCCTGCTGATTGTTTTACACARCTGAATAATTCAGTTTATTTGGGATAATTGATCCAGTGTTAGGTCAAGTGTCTTACTTCTACCAAGGTGGCAGAAAGGTGGTGTTGAGTTCGGAGAAGGCAGGTAGATGGCGGTGATGTCATCGGGCCTTTGTGAGCATGCTCAGTGTCTGCAGCTTTTTAGGTTGCCCTGCCCCCTGCTGGTTACCCTGCGGTACAACAACTCGTCCACAGCGGAGCGCTGCAAAATACTGGAGTTCAATGTCCAGATGTTTAGGACAATTTAAAAACTATAATAATAATATTTTATAATAACAATGTATTACCTTTCAAAGGCACAAGATTGCTATATTTATTGATAACTAATTAAAAGTAATTCACCTAAACTTGACCAAAGTATATCAACTTTTTTTAAGACTGGCAAAAAATTGTATAAACAAAACAATTTTCAATAAGTAGTTGGTCCTAAATTACTCTGTTTATCAACAAAAGATGAAAAACATTTGTTTGAATTTATTCCACCAGTTTTTTTCAGCTGTCGTGTTTTTATCAAAATCCTCTTAACCTTGAAATAAAAATATAAATAAGTTATTCTGTTGAATACTTAAAACTTTACCTAACACAGTAAGGATAACAATAGTTAGTAAAAACTGTTCCTAAAAGATAAAAATATTGTAATTAGT